ACAGATCTGTTTCACAAAACATGGAGGTCTGCCTAAAAGAGTTTACTGAAGAAGTCGCAATTGCTAGGTGCATACATGCATACATACAAAGATGAAACAAACAATATATTAGGTTAGTGTGTGGCATGAAGCCAACATGGTAACATTTAAGGCTCCCTGAAATAGGTATTAGGGATTGATTCATTTTGAATTCCCAGGATCAGTGAAAAAGAGAATGGTTGCATCAGTATCAGCACCTTCATCATCATGAGTAATAAATTTTGATTTAACAGAATGGTCCATATTTTCAATAAACGACCTTTTGATCCGAGACTTGGTTATACATCAAAATACAATAATGCAACATGTTCCCTTATTGCACAAGTAGCTGCTGTTCAGGTATCTAGAGCAGAGAGCTCTGTAAACTCATTTGCCAGGTCCACATGGATTTTTTTTTTTTTTATTCTTAGTCAAAACCAAGGTTGTGCTTTAAGTAGATAACAAAGGGAAATTAATTGCAGAGAATTTGCAATTGTTTCAGTGAAGCTTTATCTAAATTTAGGTTTATAGGTGCAACTTGAGATTATTCACATTTCAGAGTTGATACCTATCTTGGAGAGATGTTAAAGATGTCCATGTTTGTCACATGTTCTACAGATCAATATGGAAGGATCAGCTTTTCACCTAGGCTTGCTGCTGTTATGATGTATCAATGCTGTGCCAAATGCAGAAGTTATCCATGCAGACAGGATGGACCACTAAGTCTTTTTCGGCTGTCAGTTTTCTATCTTTCGATCTTTAATGGGCATTTCATTCATAAATGCAGAAATCATCACAAGCACACAGTTCAGTTTCATTGGGCTTTACAGAAAGGGAAAAGTGACGGCAGGCTGCATTGGCAATTTACTAACATTATTAAAGCAATTTAACATGGCTTCTTTAGATATTTTTAGACGTTCAGTGCCAGGATCTTAAATTACGGTGAACATGAGGCACGGACATGAGACTGATATTTGTTCATCAATCTATTTTGTAAGGGGGAAAAAATGTAAGAAACATCAAAATTGCATTGTGCAATTTTTTTTAAGAGCTGAGAAATGGATTGGATAAATTCAAACAGTAAAAAAAGAATATAGTCAACTGTATTTGAAATCTTTTGTGCAAGAGCAGGTAGATTCACTTAAAAATTCTAGAGCAGGGGTCTTCAAACTTGGCCCTTTTATGACTTGTGGACTTCAACTGGCTGAGGAATTCTGGGAGTTGAAGTCCACAAGTCATAAAAGGGCCAAGTTTGAAGACCCCTGTCCTAGAGCACATCTATATCTTGGCTTGATTCTGAAAACAATTACACAAAGAGCTGCAAGACACAGAAGCCAAGGAGGCAAAGTAAATACCAACTCAGAGCTAATGTAAGGATGAGGGGCTTACTTCTCTTTATTTCCAGATATGAACCCAGTAATCAGGGTGGGAGAATGAGGGAAGATTCTTTCTGTCCTCTTCTACACTGGTTGATAGTGACATCCATTGGATTTGGCATCTTTTCCAAAAACGTGGCATCAACTTTCTAAGCCTGGTTTGTTTTTGGAATGCATTTCTTTGTAATTTTCACCAGTAAGCAAAAAAGATAACATATGGTTGCAAGCTGTAGGAAAATAGGCCAACGTAACTGCTTGTTAAAGAATGAAAATAAGAAATCACAATTGATTGTAAAGGGATATTTGTGCCATATTTTTTTTAAAGCTTGCGAATACTCATTGTATCAGATACTCTGCTTTGGAATGAAGGGAATTTCACAGGTGCTCATTCTTATATCCTGGACTTCAAATTTTTATTCGGGTATTGAGCCCAGAATATCTGTTTTCCTGCAAGAAAAACTGGATATAATATTGCATTTTTTTTCTTATGCTGCTTTGTTCCCCACACTGCACAGAGAATACAGAATTATTTTTAAAGCCTAAATTAAACCATCGCTAAAACAGACATTTCGGAAAATGAAGAGTGAAAATGCATTGGGACTGATGTGAAATACAATGTGACTGTTACGTACGGCCTCTCTATGTTGGCTAAATGAAGAAGGATAGAATATCAGCACACAAAATGTAATGAAATTAATGTTTTTAATGTGATCATGAGATCACAGACAACATCTGTGTAATTTTTTTGATAGTGCCCTCAGGGTAGCAATACTAAATGATATTCAAAGGAAATCAGAAAGACAGTTGGGAATGAAACTGGGATGTCTGCTAGGCAAATCAATATTTTGGCAACTTTGCTTCGCCAAGCATTGTCAGCATTATGTGATATTATACAGAGACCCTCTTGGACACCAAATAATCTTGTAACCAGCTGTAAATATGATGGCTGATGAAAGCTTGGCTGCCTTCTAAGCTTATATTACAAAAACATACAATAATGTTAGCATAATGCAGGGGTAGTCAATCTTGGCTCTTTTATGACTCGTGGACTTCAACTCCCAGAATTCCTGAGCCAGCTAAGCTGGCTCAGGAATTCTGGGAATTGAAGTCCACGAGTCATAAAAGAGCCAAGGTTGACTACCCCTGGCATAATGTTCTGAGACACAAGATGTGGATTTTAAATCTTTTGCTCCAGGCAGAGCAATTCACAACCATAAGAATTCTTATGCTGATAAGCAGCAAATTAACTCCAGAGTTACCAGTGTTCACTGCTCTTAAATAAATATATTGAGAGTATTATTGTTAAACGTCTTGGTCCTGTCAAATAACAACCTAATTTAACAGTGGGCACCACTCTCAAGCCACAACCAACTAAGAGGATGTAGGGGAAGCAGGACCAGAATTCCTCAGGACTCTCAATTCCTGAGAAACACACATTTTTGACATTGTTTAAATGGAATGTGCTATAATGTCAGGCATCCACCTAATGGGAAAGCCTATATTTTATTTATTTGTATCCCTTTTATTATTTTTACAAACAACTTAAGGTGGGGAACACATCCCAACACATCATCTTTGTCTTATTTTTCCTACAACAGCCTTGTGAGGTGAGTTGGGCAGAGAGTGAGTGACTAGTCAAAAATCACCCTGCTGGCTTTCCCAGCTAAGATGGGACTTGAACTCATGGTCTCCTGCTTTCTAGCTTGGTGCCTTAACCACTAAACCAAACTGGCTCTAGGTCCTTAATTAAGGATTTTTAGATTTTAGATTTTTAGATTTTATTAAATTTATACCCCGCCCTTCTCCCGGAGGACTCAAGGAGTTTCTAGGAGTTTCTTTTCACTAAATACAAATAGCTAGAGATAAAGTGGTTGCAAGCCAGGGCACAGTCCCCCTGTGCTATGCACAAGTATGCAGAATGCATACAGAAGTATATTTATAGTGTGCAATTATATACTGTATAAATAATTTCATTATATTGTTGGGCAATGTGACTTCAGATAGTAGGTGGATAATTCAATGGTGTTTCTCCCATCATCAAAAAACGTAAGTTCACATATTGACATATGAAAAACACAAGTATTTGTCTTTTTAGAAGATGACAAACTATTTCCAGATACTGGGATATGTGTGAAATTTGACTATACTTTTGGAAAGATTATTTTCTGTTAAGTGCTAAGTATCTGTCTGTTTCAGGGGATTGTGCCGAGAGTGATGGGACCCAATGAGTTCTATTCTTAAGTAACATCTTTTTTGGAGATGTTCACTTTGAGTTTTACATCAGGAACATCCCAGTCCTACGATCTTGTAGAGTGTGAAAAATCACTAAAATATCATAGAATATTAACTTATATGATGCCAAGTTCCAAAGTGCAAATCAAGCAGTCTTCTGAAAAATGTTTCTGTGACCCAAAGAGTTGCAGGCATGTGGCAATGCTTGAATCTCTCTTGTGCTGGGAGGCTGCAAGCATCTGGCTCTTCATGCTGTCAGGATCATTACACTTAAGTTCAAAATTTGCTAGCAAATAGTAAATGCATGACAGAGTCTTCCATCCAGGAGTACCTTATGATAGCAATACATACAAACTGCTGCTGGAGGAATTATCCAATGTGAGTTTACGTGGTTCTTTAATTTTTCACGCCTGGTGAAACGAATCACATCATTGACATATATGAAGGAATGCTGTTTCAGATAACACTCTATAAGCTCTACTTCATGAGTTCTATCATTTTGCCCTCTCCTCCCACCGAATACATGCTTGTCATCATTCTGAAGGGATCACACCTTTATGTCCACAGTTTTTCTAAAAGAAGGAATGTGAATTCTTGTCACAAGAGGGAAATGTACACAGAATACTCAGCCAGAGTTGTAAGTTATCCCAAAAGAAATTTCAAAGCAAAATAAAGTATTTTAAGGCCTCCAATCCTGTTTTCAACATAGCGTCTTTCTCCTTCCCATCTTGGATGATCTGAAAGGTGTCGAAGTGACCGTAATTCTAGGAGAAAGGGTCACTGAAAAAGTTACTTCTGAACTCTACAGTCAAGTGATTTCAGCCTGAGATTCTAGCGCATTTTCTTGGAAATGACAACAATAAGACTTTTTCTGCTAGACTTGGAAGACATTTTCAACCTTCTGTACGTGCTTTTGAAACAAAGTTTTTTAGATATTTAAGACTAAAAGGTCTGCCAAAGAGTTTTCTGAGAAAGAGAGAGAGGGGAGAGGGAGGGAGGGAGGAAGAGAGAGAGAGAGAACACTGATGAACTGAAATATTCATAACGACTTCCATAATAATGTCAAGCATTATATTCTGTTGTTAAGTTTACTTTTTGTCATGGAAAAAGATACTCAAAGTACTTTCTTTTTGTTGAACTTTTTTTCCCTGCCAGATTTCTGCCCAGCTTCCTTTGAGGTAACAGCCCTGGTTGAAAGGATACCACGTTAAACCAGCTGTGTCTTTCTCCATCTGTTGATTTCCCCATACGCTGCTTTTAAATTGTGGTTCTGAGAAACATTTCTGGTTTTGTACTTCCCATTTCTAGAGTTGACATTCTGGAACTTATCAGCGTACTAAGCAGCTCCTACATATAGCTTGCTTGGCTTCTGTTTCACTTAGCATAGTAATTTTCAAATTGCCACTTCTGATGGGTATTGCTTGGAAAACAAATGTTAGCCCTCAGAACTTTCTGAGACTGATCTATTTCCAAACATGTAGCCCTTGAAAGGTGCTCTAAAACAATGTGATCCATCTAAAGAGAAGAGAGAAGACGGTGACAGTGGGTTATACACACAAACCTGAAAAGTAAGCCATTGATTTAGTACTAGAAAAGCTTTGTCAAAGTAAATCCTGCCATGTTTCCCATTATTTATAAGCAGAACAGAAGTGTACAACATGTCTATCTGTTCTTGGACTAGAGTCTCTATGTGGCATAGCTTGCTAATTCTACGAAAATTCAAAGACAATTCTTCCCATCTAAATGGTAATTGTTATGCAAAGGACGTTACACCATGTGGCCTTTGCAATAATGGGTCATTTAATGGCAGGTGATTCTGCTCTTCAGATTGCAATATTACTCAGCTGATGAAATAGGGGACACATCACAATGAAAGGGGGTTGGGTGCCTTGTTAATTGTCAAAATCAAATTATAAATTCATGAAAAGTTTTGAATGAGCAAAAATCATATTCTCAGGTGCAACTAACCTAATAGGTGTCTAAGTAGGTTTCCTAATAGTAACGTAACTATTCTCAACCGAAGAAATAGGCTTCTTTAAAAAATGAATTTGAAAGATCTTTGATAAAAATCGATATTTAAATGCTGAAAAAGTTAAGGAACTGGAAAAAAACTGCATTGTCACAAATATTCAAAAATCTAGAGATTCATGATGCAAGTAAATGCTGATCTTTGTAATGAAGGGACTTTCAGCATTCAAGATATAACACTGGCAATAAGAACAAAAAGAAAGCAATTCATTAGCATTTCATTCATTTCTTGCTAAATACATTAAATTTGGGAATGCATGGAAAGAAACCACCCAGAAATGCCCCGTGGTAAGATGGGTGGCCAATAAACTTTACAAATAAATAAATAAAAACTTTTTAGCATCCCACTTCGGTGTCTCTCCCATCAGATTCATATCTTAGACTTGATGTCTGGCAAAGTGTTCCCATCCGTGTCAAGTTGCATGTGTGTACATAGATGTAGGCACAATATTGACACTAGAGGTTGTCCTTACTTACAACCATCCGTTTAGTGACTGTTTGAAGCTACAACGGCATTGAAATGACTTGTTTTCACAGTTACGACCACTGTAGCATCCCCCATGGTCACATGATCAAAATTCAGATGCCTGGCAACTGGCATGTATTTATGACAGTTGCAGTGTCCCAGGGTCACGTGATCACCATCAGTAACCTTCCCAGCTGTCTTTTGACAAGCAAAATCAATGGGGGAAACCAGATTAATTTAACACTTGCATGATTCGCTTAAGAACTGCAGTAATTCATTTAACAACTGTGGCAAAAAAGTCATGAAATGGGGCACAACTCACTTAACAACCATGGAAACTTTGAGCTCAGTTATGGTTGTAAGTTGAAGACTCCCTCTACTATATCCAGAAAGATGGAAGCAGGTATCTTTCAATATCTGGAAGCTGCCTAGAATTATCTTTGGCAGGATGGGTGGCATATACATTTGATAAATAAATCCTTCCTCTTTGCCCTTCCGTACAAAGAAAAATGAAGATGAAGTTTCTTATGACTAACCCCCAAAGGATAGGCCGCTCTGCTGATTTTTCTTTATTCTCAATAGAAGCAGCCATAAAAGGGTCTTGTGAGTAACAGTTATTACTTTCGTATAAAAGAAATCCGTATTTTGGTTTCCTATGATGGAGATATCTTTAGGCTGCATTTCTCCCGTAAGGTTTATATTCTGTTCCTTTAACATCCAAAATTCTCATAAAAACTAATCTGATCTTTTACCACAACAGATAAAGGTGCATGCCTCAGTTTGATGTTAATTCAACATTGTATGGATGCAGCAGTATGTATCCAATTGTGTTTAATTAGTTTTTAATGGTTTAGCTAAATTAAGGAAGGAAGGAAGGAAGGAAGGAAGGAAGGAAGGAAGGAAGGAAGGAAGGAAGGAAGGAAGGAAGGAAGGAAAATATCCAAACATCTGTATGATGGTAAGAATCCATATTCCATATGAAGACAACTAGAAACTGGCAAACTATTTCATAGCTTAAATGGATGAAAAATTTTCTTAAATTTTTAGGAAGCCCTTTCAAGACAATACCTTTTCCTTTTTTAAGGAATTCTATTTGATGGAGGAATAAATAGAAGGCATCTCTATACCAAGACTAGGTACATGATTACTGATGAGATACTCTAATTGCTCTAATTGACCTTCCCCACAAAACCAAAAGATTCTACTGACATATTCTACCCCCATTCCAATTTTAGATACAGGAAAATCATTCTAAATTTACTTTGGCATTTTCTTAGCATTAAGATCAATTTCTAGGTCCTATAACTATGGAGGATAAAAAAAATTTTTTTTTCCTTTTCTAAATATGTTCATTAGATCATTTTTCAGATCAGAACAGTTTGCTAAAACTATTTTTGGATCCTAAATGAGCAGTTTATGCTCTATGCCACCTAAGGTAAATATATCTGAAAGGTTGCAACTATAGCTTTGACAAATTTGTATCAAAGCAACAGGAAACCGAATGAGATTATTTTTCAATAACTTCAATAAAACATTGGCTCTTTAAAAGACTTTTTAACACAGCCGAATACAAAACTGGATGCATATACTCCAATTGCAACAAGTTATTCACTGCTGTAGTTTTATACTCTTTTTTTCTTATTTGCATTTATATCCTGCCTTTCCTATTAATAGCTAAAAGCAGATTACATGAGGTTCATAATCTTTCTCCCACAACACCAATCCTTTGCGGTAGGATGGCCTGAGAAGGTGTGATTGGTCTACGGAATTCCATGATAAAGTGGGGAAGGGCCCCCGGCTCTCCTTGTTCGACTCATCACTTCACATAACCTCTACACATATTGTCATCTTCTCTATAATATAAGGAGCAACTTTTGCACTTCATCTAACCAATGCTGTTTTTTCTGATGGGGAGAGTTTCTCCATCTTGTATAGAGACATTTACTTTCAGTATGAGATTTATTTATTTATTTTTTTAAAAAAACTATCAATATTGAATCTGGAACATATCCCATGCAATAAACATCTCACAGTGTTTTGTAAGGCTGCTCTTTTGGTGCCCTTTGTATCAATCCTCATTTTGGATATTACAGACATTACTTAGCGCAGGGGTCTTCAAACTTGGCCCGTTTATGACTTGTGGACTTCAACTCCCAGAATTCCTCAGCCAGCGTGCCTGGCTGAGGAATTCTGGGAGTTGAAGTCCACAAGTCATAAAAGAGCCAAGTTTGAAGACCCCTGACTTAGTGGAGTTTTCTTTCTTCCTGCTTCACTGTTTTCACTACACCTTTGTGGTCATTTGGTTAAAATAACAGAATAATTTATAGCAGGGCTTTTCAACCAGTGGTACAGGTACCACCTGTGGTACATTGGCACCTAGCAGGTGGTACGCGACCATCAAAGAAAAGTAGTGGGGGAGGGGAATGAGCTGAACCCGTGGCAGCACCGGACAAGCCTGAGCAAGGGCTGTCAGGGCTCAGCGGAAGTGCCAGGATCAGCACTTCTTCGGGACTGTCAAGGCTCAGTGGAAGCATCAGGATCAGTGCCAGGCTCCAGCTGGAGCTTGGCGCTGATCCTGGCGCTTCTGCTGAGCCCTGAAGAAGCGCCGATCAGCTGGAATGTTGCAGCATCTCCAGGGTCTTGTGATTTACATTCAGATGCTTGGCAACTGATTCATATTTATGATGGTCACAGTGTCCTAGGGTCATGTGAAGTGACCAAACCTGCTGCAACCACCCAGCAAATGGGGGGAATAAAAACCAAACAACCCCCCCCCCGTTGCCAATCTTCAACAGAAATGATCACAACAATGAAAACCTCGGACAGGAGGAAGAGCACTGCCGGGTGGGCAGGTAGGTGTCTTGCTCGGCTGTGGCTTGGGGGGCACTTTTTTCAGTGCCGTTGTAACTTCAAACAGTCACTAAGTGAACTGTTGTAAGTCAAGGACTACCTGTACTTCATCACTTTTTTCCTTTTTTTTTGTCATCAAGTTTTTGACATCTTGCTAGGTGACTGGTGGTACTCGGATATTGCCATATGCTAAAAGTGGTACAATGGGTGAAAAGGTTGAAAAGCCCTGATTTATAGCACATGGCAAGTCCTAGCCAAATTTGGCAGGTCTTAAAAATCCATGCAGGGTTAGTGAAGAAATTACAGGGAACTTGGCAGAGGCGTCCACAGTCCCACTCCTTTCATCAGAAGGATGAATCATTCAGAATGGTGAAAGCAGTCTTGCTTCACAAAAACTCAAGCTCCGCCCCTTTTGTACATGCCTGCAACATCATAACTTCTGTGGAAAAATGATAGAGCTTGTATCACCCACCCACCACCCATTACCTATGTTCGGAATTAAAAAAGAAGGAAATGACAAATTGTTTACATATTGTTGACAAGAAAGCTGCACAGAGGTTTCCCTAAAGTCAATTAGGGGGTGTTGCAAAATGCACGAGTCTCTCTGATATGTGTTTGATGTGAGCTGCCTATGAGTTATATTGGCATTAGATTAGGGTCTAAATCTGATGGTTGCCTATTAGCTTTTAGAGTTTATTAATGTGTGGGTTGTAAATTTTTGTTCAGCAATTTTTTTAATGACAATATTCCAGTTTGGATACCCTAAAGAACATGTCCCTGCTGAAATAAATAGGAAGTGATATAATGGAATAGCATTAAACAAAGGGCATAATTAGCAAAAATGTTTCCAAATTTATTTTTGTTACTACACTTTTTCACTAAAAAATGAAGCATGGAGAGAAATTGCACGACTGGCAAATAATAAAATTTAGAATTTAAAATATCTGTCAAGTGTAGCTCCAAACCCTTCTCTTTTTTTGACAGTGGTTTCATTCTACAAAATTTGATACTAGCTCGGTGGTCCTTAGACTTTCAGTCAGACTTTCTATTTGCAATACTGGAGTTAAAATTGTGAGGTTAGCAATAGAGAGACCCATGCCCAAATCCTGATTAAACCATTAAGCTCACTACTGGAGGATCCTGAACAAGCACAATCTTCAGCCTAATGTTCAGATCAGGGATGTAGTGAAGAGTTAAGTGCAACGAGAATGGTATACATTGCCCCAGGCCACTTGGAGGGAGCTGATGATAGATTAAATATTCACTGATGTTACTTCCCTACCTACAAAATGATAGCTAAGAGCAAACCTTGCATAAGTCCTTTCCTTGCTTGAATGACAAATGTCTGCATGTCTGTCATTGCCATACAGAGGGAAATGATGTAGCAAGCTCTCTTTGTTTTGAACCGGTTCCACTTTAGCCACAGTGAGAGGGGTTGTTATTTGCTAAACAGCTGCACTTACGAGTTCTGGGTGAAAAGCGACCAGTGATTTATGCAACCATTTCTGGCTATTGTTTCTTTTATCGCAAGGGTGCAGACCCAGGGTCCCTTCGGCATCAGTAAGTGCCACGCAGGAGCCTTCGTGTTGGATTAGCCTCAGCCAAGTGTAGTTGAACTTTTGGTTCTGCACAGAGAAAAGAATTGGAAAAGATAAAAGATTCAATCAGAGTTTTCTGAATTAAAGAGTTGATTCTTTGTGACTATGCCCTGGATTGCTCTAAGATGCTCTTCCCAGAGGTTACTCAAATGCTGACCAAAGGTTCACTATAAATAATACAATTCCCTTTCTCAGACCAATGCTAAAGCCACACATAAGACCTATTTTCAAAACTTATGACCCATTAAATAAAAGGCTGATATTTTTATCGTCCCCTTCCCCTCTCTCTTTCTCTCTCGACACTTACTCATGTTGTTACTTTGAAAATCCATAAAACTATGTTTGGGGTATTAAATTGAAAATGTAGGTTATTCAAACAATAAGTGTACATTTTTTTAAAATTCACTTTAACAGGTTCATTTTTGTTATAAATGGACCTAACAAGCTGCTTCATTTGTTCCTTTCCTTTAATAAAGTTATTATTGAAAACGTAAGCAACCATTAATTCACCTAACACAAAGGAAGTTGCACATTCAGAGCATGTGCAAAATATTACTTGGATATGGAAAATATTATTTTTCAGGGAAAAAAGTTGAAGGGGGACAATAAGATTCAAAATACACATATTGCTACCTGAAAAATGATCTAAATCATATTATTTTCTGCATCTGAACTACTATTGCTCTCACCATTTCTGGTCTTTTAATTTTATTAAAGGTTTGCCTATATTGAGACAAATTGGCATGTATTTCCAACTACCCCCTCTTAAAAAATAAAAAGTTAGGAAATAATTCATAATCCATTTTTAAAAATTTCTTGGGGCAAACACATTAAAAAAGGCTTCTTAAACCTCTTCTCCATAACATTGCAACTACTTCCCCCACCCTCAATTTTCTCCATTTTTTTCCTCATGGGTCCTCATGTCTATTAACCCTGGCAGAACTAACAGAGCAATAGTTTTGATTTGTGAGTGCAGAAAGCTAGGAAGCATGAGCACACCTGAAAGAGGGCACAATTCTGCTTTGTCTGGATGCAGATAGTCTTTACTGAACTGCTGACACTAAACTAGGGATTTTCCTTCAGTGCTCTTTGTATTCACAGCCGGAGCCTACTCTTGAGCACTTCCCAAGGCCACCCAGCCAGGATCAGGGTGCTCTTCTCTAATTTCACTTCACTCCTATTCCAGGGTGAATCTTCTTAGATGTCTTCTTGGGGCCATCACGAGTGGGGAGCCTGTGCTCAGCTTTCTCCAAGCAGCCTGACTGTGTTTCTTGTAGGAAAAGGGCCAGAATATTCAAGCAGAGCCCATTCAAAGGGAGCCCCTATCTGAAGAAGGAATTCTGGCCACAATTCAATTTTGGGCATGCAAGCCAGATGAATCGCTGCCACATTGTAATCCCCTTCTGTCAGCACCACTGGGTACATCTGGCCAGGAAATCAACTCCACAGGAAGGCTAAGAATATTATAATTGGGACGGGCAATAACAGACTCTCCCAAGTCTAATTGTGATGTACTTCCTCCTCCTATTCTTTATAGCTCAGTGAATTAGGGAATTGTCTGCCTGAATAGCTTCTAAAGGTTACCTACTTATAAAATACCTCAGCCCCTTTTCGGATACATTACCAAGAACATCCTGAGAAAGTGCCATTAGACGGAATGGGACATGTGGGTCCAAAGAGTTGGAACCGTTAAAATTCTCCATACCTGTAGTTAAAGGTGTTAAAGGATCGGTCGTACAATCGACCCCTTAAGACCCTTAACTTCAGGTACGTAGAATTTCAACGGTTCCAACTCTTTGTGACGAGATGTGTTTCTGTTTGGATAAGCTGACAACTGGATTATCCAGACAGAACTGGATTCCTTTTGACTGCAGAGTAGTTAAAGGTCCTTTACAACTAAAAATAATACAAGCATCACAGCTGGGCAGAGAATTTAATAGCATATTAAAGATTAAACCATATCCAGTATTTTGAAGACGTTTTAAAAGGGTTTAGTCTCTAAGAATAATGAAAAATAATTCCACTTACCTTGTTATTAATATCACATGTTTCAAGGGTAAGACTAGATCGATTCACAGTGGCGCACTTATCCAATGCTACATTAATAATCTAGAACAAATAAATGATTGAAACATATTCAGAAAAAAATAACTTCAAATTACCAAAAAGGACAATTGTTGACTGAAAATGTTGAAGCAATTAAATTTTATAATGACTATTTAGCTTTTGTAATCTGCATCTGATTGTATTTTATTTGTGGAAGAAAAATATTATGCACTGAGTATGCCAATTTATTACCAGCATAATATATTTGTATGCCTGATTCTCCCAGGGCAGAAAAAATACTACTGAAAGTCTGAAAGGATCTTAAAGTTTTCACTTAGGGATAGGAAGGCAACCGAATCAATGGAAGGTTGCATTCTGCAACTGAACAAAGATTAAGGATCTAAACTCATTAATCAGATTGTAATATTTTTCATTACTGGTTTCCAAGAGAATCCAAAATAGTATATGCACATCACGCAACACATTATGCAATGTGCAAAGAGGAGAAAAGAATAGTAAACAACAGAAATTAAAGACATGAGAAAAGAGGCAGAACAGAAATTGTATCTAAATCTAATTTACACACCCCTATTCGCTGTATGGCTCTGCATCTCTCTATTCTTGCAAGCTATCCTTGCTTTCCACATTCCGACATATACTGATTCAAACGTTGACATTCGAGATTGTTACCTGTCTTGGATTGAGCAACTCTTCAAATCTATTCAACTGCATTTTTTATTTCCCTTTCCTTTCATCCCATTCATTCTTTCTTCAGATACTGATTTGTGATTTGATTCGTGATCTGATCCTCATTCATTCCTCCTATATGAACAAACCACGTCAACCACGTACTTCTTCTATGGGTATTCAGTCCATACCAATTCATTCTTGACTCCATCTTTTCTTGTTTTACTATGCACGCTTAAGTATCCCAGTCCTATTGTATTCAACTTACTTTTATGTTCTTTCTGAGATACTGAACACTGATTACCTGAAATCAGGCGGGCATAAACACACTCCCATACAGCGACTTTCATTTCTTTTGAAATACTGTCCACTCTATCAGCAATCAGTTCATTTTAAAATTCTCATTCCACTTTTCTATTTCTAGTGAACGTTTTCTGGAGCTGTTCACTCACTTCCTCTAGTTCTTTATAAAATTTATTGAAAACCTGCAATGGCTCACTCCATTTTCCCTGTCAAACATGGCAAAGCTATGTTTGTCTTTGATATGTTATTTTCTACATGTTCCAGACTGTATCTTGCAATCTACCTGACATTCACCTCAAATATTATAATAATAATAATAATAATAAAGTTGGAAGGGACCTTGGAGGTCATCTAGTCAAACCCCCTGCTCAGGCAGGAAACCCTACACCATTTCAGACAAATGGCTGTCCAGTCTCTTCTTAAAAACAACAAGGCATCATCAGCATCCAATAATACACATTTACGGCCCTAGCCAAGAAACCTCGATGCCAACATAACCACTTGTTACATTTTTACCACAAATACATTAAACAATTATGAAAATGTTTCACATCCTTGTCTTTATTCTATGCTCAATGCTGAACAATTCCCCAAGCATTCCATTTTGTTTTCTCACAAGCTTTACTTCGATCATAATCAGGTCTTATGACATTAAGCAATTAATCTCCAACTCCACACTTATAAAAATGATTCTGCAATTCCTTCTACCAGTAGGTGAAAATGTGAAGCTGCAATAAGCAAAAAATGACACTATCCCGGTCTTCACCATGTAGACTTGAACTTAAGCTCTTACCAGTGTTCAGTCATCTCTACAACTTCCTACCTTTCACTCAAGGCATCTTTTCCTCTGCTTTATTTCCTGCAGTTCCTCATATTATAAAAGTTTTGCTATGCACTATTTGCACAAAAAGCACAATTTGCATCATGCCTCTTTGATTGAGAGTTTGGGGAATAGAGGTCAAAATCCACTTGTATGTTTTCATGAAATCAAAGACAACTAGTTTCAATTATGTTAAGGACTTAGAACACTTGTTAGGAACCGACAGGTTTGAATTGAAAGGGATGAAGTTTACGACAACAAGTCAAAAAGTTTTCCCTCAGAGGTTCTCAATAAAGATAAACAACGATATCGCATAGTCCAACCTAAGCAGGGACAGGTAAAAATCTAATTATCCACAGCTGACCTTTTGCAGTTAATTTGGTTGCCCAACCCATTGAAACAGCAATCTTCTATCTTAAAATTAGTTGGTCTAACCAAGACTAATTTATAGTTTTAAACAAACTCTTCCAGATTAATGAAGTGAGCTGTAATTTGTTATTGTAAAGGTCAAAAAAATAAATATAAATAAGTGGGTAAGCCCTCCTGCTGTTATAAGATCTCAGTTTGCTAATGGATTTGGAAGATGAATGACTGGTTATATATAACATTTTTTTCAGTACTGAGATTTAAGGCTTATCAAGAATCCCTTCTTCCCCCACTTCATAATATTGAAATTTTTGTGATGCTTGAATTCATGGATAATAGAACAGACCCTAACCTGTTCCTTGCCCTTAGAGTAAGGAGATTTAGGAGAGGAAGAACTCCTATACAAATTCATAATTGTGCTGACAAATGGAATCTCAGGAGATGTTCTTATACCAATTACGAGGGTAATTCAGAAATAAACCTCCATTTGGTTATCAATGACAGACACTCGCAGATACAGAACTTTTATTATACACATTAGAAAACTACAACATTACATTACTTTTTGACATAATCGCCATTCAAATTGAGGCACTTGTCATAACGTCTTACAAGGTTCAAAATTCCTTAGTAGTAGTCCCTCAGCTCTAAATCTCGGCTATGGGTGTGTGTGTGTGATCAAAAACATCCCAATGGAACTGCTTCAAAAGTTCTTTGGTGTGTCTAGTGGTGTGTGGGCGAGCATTATCGTGAACCAACACCACACCGGAAGTCAGCATGTCCCAATGCTTGTTATGGATGACTCATCTGAGTTTTTGTTTCACAGTAGACTTCTGAATTGATGGTTGAACCACGCTCCATGAACTTCACTAGCAGTACTCCTTTAGCACCTTCATATTTGGTGAGATTTTCTATGGCGCCACTTCCAATGTGGGTTCACGATAATGCTTGCCTGCACAGTTTTCTAATGTGCGTAATAAAAGTTCTGTATCTGCGAGTGTCTGTCATTGATAACCAAACGGAGGTTTATTTCCGAATTGCCCTTGTATCGTAGAATCCCCTCTTTTACACAACTATTATAATGCAAGGGCTCTCAATTTTTTTGATCAGGTCACTATTCAAGTTGTTCTGCAAAATTTGTCACTGTAGAAAAAAAGATGAACATTATCAGAAGCAAGGTCAGTTTTTTTCATACCTTTATAACTTATCATGAGATATATACAGGGACTAGCCTGGGATAGCAGGAGAACATTGATGGAATATGTAGAACAGAAGGTCTGGTAGAAAGAATAGAGTTTCAATATGGCCTTGGTCTTGTGTTTTCATGATGCAGCTTTTTCAGCATGCCCTGGGGCAAGGTGGATTATGGTCCTCTTGGTTAAGCTGCCTTTTATCATACATAATTAATTCTAACATGGGCTTTAGCAGTTTTATTGTTATTTGCTTGATTTGTCCTGCCATGCTGTTGCTTTAATCCTAATATTTACACTCTGCAAGTCATTTAGAGTTATGAATGCATTCCAGAGTAAATAGGGTGCTTTTAGAGGTAGCTCTTTTAACTTGGGACTGGCAACTTGCTAAGTGAAAAATTGCAAGTGCAATTGTGCTTATGACTTTATATGGGACAACACATCCTTATTGTAATACTGAACATGTGACACAGAAAGGCACTGCAAAGGTCATAGATGTGGGCATTAGCTGCAAGATTACTTTTCATCACTGTCTTAACTGGGAATGGTTGCTAAATGAGGGAATCATTGAGTGATGACTACTATATCTGGCACAGATAACTGAAGTTTTATGGTAGCAAGATTCCAGAGATGTTCCATTAGGGCAAATATCACTTCAGCAGGATCCCAACTATGAAGAAGATCCACAAGAAATGTACCTTCAAGATGTACCAAACACTGTGACCATAAGAATTACAGTTCCATGTAATTCTTGACATACAGGATACTGATATCATGACATCAATTTTGTTTAATTATGCCTTATACCCTACAACTGTAGTGGCGAACCTACAGCACGGATGCCACAGGCGGCACGCGGAGCCGTCCCTGTGGGCACGCGTACCATTGCCCCAGAGGGAGGCGGGGCCAGGCTGCTCCCCTCCACCTCTCCACATGCGCCTGCGCTCTTGCTCTCTCTTGGCCATGGGGGGGCACGAAATTGCTCTGGAGGCATAGATCCGGGCGGCAGAGGCCATGCCCACCCAGCGGGCCATGCCCACCCGGCACCCGGGAATACATAAGTGGGTTTTGGGTTGCAGTTTGGGCACTTGGTCTCTAAAAGGTTCGCCACCACTGCCCTACAAGAACTGTATGTTGTCCTATTGTTCCATGGATTCAGGGTGTTGAAACGGATTCCTTGTTTGAGCAACCTTCTCAAGCTATCTTTAGTGATGCCAGGTAAAAAGGCAGCTACAACAGGAAAATGGCATTTGAAATGCCGTTTTTATATATATCACAAATACAAACCAGAATGAGCTTCAGGCCTGATTCGTTTATATAAAAATGGCATATCAAATCAAGCAAATATATGTATATTAAAGAGAACGGTTTTATTTTATGTTAAAGTTATCAGAAGGGATTGTAAATAAAAAAAAAATTAAAAACAGCTTTTGGAAAAAGGAAGCCAAACAACTTCCTCCCATCTCCCCATAGCTCATAAAAGGTTTTATGGCTCCACTTCGTAGTTCCTGTGAATGCTATTCTAGAGGAACTCATAACACATTTCGTGTTACGATGGCTATCATTTACAGCTGCTAAATTATCTTTGGAACTGGAGAATGGGTATTAAAAGTTCCTTAAGATGCATCATAACACAGTTTTATAGATGGTCTTGGCTTTGGGACCCTACAGAAACAATTCCTATTTTATTCCAGAAAGGAATAAAATGGATTTCTAGTGCACTCTAGTGGTTGTAAATTGAAAGTATGAAATCCTTAAGGATTTGAAGTGAACAAGTTCTACAATTAGGTTGAATGTCTGAAGCATCTGCCTGATATCAACACATCTCATTTAGGTAATAGTTATATAGTAATAACAGTAATAAATTATATAGATTTTGGAAGGTAAGAATAAGAAAACTTTATGTTTACTGAAGGAGAATCAGTATTTGGGGCTTACGAATTTTAAATATTTCCCCATCCTGTTAATTTACAAATATTACTCTAAGGATCTACACCAGTTTCCTATACTTTTTTTTTTTGCCAGTTAATTCTGGGAAAAAATTATAAAACATACTGCTTTTTTCTCTTCTACATGCCAATGTACTGCTTGGAATGCATAACTTTCCACTGACAGAACTACTATCCTTTCTTTATAGTTATCTGATTTCAAATCAGAGATGTTGCACTATAATAAATAAATATCCAGGAGTAGTAATAGAAAATCTTGCTAAAAGAAAAAGCAGTGCTTAAGAAAAATGCAGATTTAGAGAAAAATGCAGGAATAGCAATAGCACTTAGACTTATATACTGCTTCACCGTGCTTTACAGCCCTCTCTAAGCGGGTAGTATATTCCCCCACCAAAAAAATCTGGGTTTTCATTTTACCGACCTGGGAAGGATGGAAGGCTGTGTCAATCTTGAGTGGGTCAGGATCGAACTACCAAACCACTGGCAGCTGGCAGTCAGCAGAAGTAGCCTGCAGTACTGCATTCTAACCACTGTGTCAACACAGCTCTTAATTCTGTAGCATCTACTTCCAAGACTTCAAGCTAGGTTAGCATAGGGAACCCATCACCAGTAGGTTGTGCTTCCAAAAACTAGAAATGATAAATGCCTCTCTATGTATAACACAGATACACAGATATGTATAGGTCAGGGTCACTCATTAATCTAAGCCATAAAGGAGTTTACTTCTACTGTAGTTTTGTGTGTTGTGTAAACACATGTAATAGTGTCTTATTGAACATACATACCCATTACACTATTTCCTTTCAATAAACAGAATATGTTACATGCAGAAAAGCAAGAAATATTAACCAAATAAACAACAGACATTAAAAATGTATATACATGAAATAAGACAAAAGACACCGTTATATCTAGTTTATACGAACACAATTCACTATATCTCTCCATGCCTTGCAAACTATCCAAAATCTTTTATATACTTGCAAACTATCCTTGTTTCTACCAATTCCACATATTGATTTATATATTCATCAGATTTGTTCTTCTCAGTTACTTCTTTCTAACATCTCATAAATGCTATCCAAATACAATTTTTTTTGTACTTTCCCTTCCTCTCAATACATTGTTTTTTTTATAGAGATTTACTTTGAAATCCAATCCTCATTCACTTTCTCTATATGACCAAACTATTGCAGTATATTTTTTTGTACTGGTCATTCACTTTCATGTTCAATCCACCTTTATTCATTCTTGACCCTAGCACTTCCTCTTACCACAGATTTCTTAACCTATTCCCACTGCATTTTACTTTTTTTAATTTGTCCTGACATACTCAACTTTCACCATTATTATGTCAAAGAGAAAAAAAACCCTTCTTATAAACAGCCATTTTTGCTTCTTTTGAGCCTGACAACATACAACATACTACTCTCTACCCTTTTACTAGCCTTTGTATGTCTTGAAGTTTTGCCACCTGTGTTTTTATTTTTAGTAAATATTCTACAAAGATAGAAAAATTCATCTACATGTTGCACTTCTTCATCGTTCATGTATAACTTGCAACTATTCATTCAACTTTGTCAAATATAATTGCCTGATCTTTGATACATTAATTTTATCCATACTTCATATCCTTTCTACATCCTGCAATCATTACACATTCATCGAATATCATTCAGATACTCAACCATTATTATGAGAACATGAAAGTACACACATATTTACATCCTCATCCAAAAAACCTCTAATCATTTTGATATGTTTATCCATAAACATATTAAACAACTGAGAAAATATCACACTTCCTTAGTCCTGAACCATTTTCTAATCATTCCATTTATTTTACTTCAATCATATGCCACTCTTGCCTTATTAGCAATCAATCAATTCCACGTTTACAAAAGTGTATTCTAATTATCACCAATTTATAAATTTCTATTTTCATATACATATCTTCCAACATACCTTTGCCTTTTCATTATTATTCCTTCACCTTCATTCAGATTTATTATTCCCAACTTATTCTAACTTTTATCAACACACTTTAATTCATGTTTAATATTTATTCTTCTTGCATTACACATCTGATCTTCCATATGTCATGGCTCTCCTATGATGGCCAATAGATATTGATTCCTACCATTTATTATGGCTTTGGTTAACTGAAACTTCACTAAAAAACCATTTTAATAAGACAGAAAATATGTAGACTAAGCTATGAGCATTAGTCATATCTGTTCCAGAAACAGCATTCTGTGCTAATGGCACAGCAAGTGGTAATCAGTTTGGGCATATTTTGGCCAACATGCTACAAGACTAACCAAAACTTTACTCCAAGCATGCCCATTACATTCTATAAAATCTCTGTGTTTACCATTTACTCCATATCCATTCCAAGTTGTAATCTTTTTGTCATAGTTATCACCAGATGGACCCACAATTATTGACCTCCATTGCCTATTCAGGCTTTAGTTAATCTAGGCTTTCATATAATTTTTATTATAGTATACTATAGCAGAAAGTGTGGATTCAGTTATTTGTATGGATAAACCATTCACAATAACTTTGCTTGGCTTGATCTTTCCCCAGAGTATCTTCCACCTTGTTGATGTCAACTTCAACTAGGAAAGATTTTTTCTCTTTGGCCTGAGAGTTAAATTAACTTTCTCTATCTTTGGGGCAATACACCTTCAAAAACTAGTTGTTGGGAGAACCAGAATATGCTACCCAGTCACTGCTGAAAATGAAAAGCTGGTACAGAGGAAGGAAAGTGACTATTTTTTACTATGTAAACAGAATACAAATCGGCATTTTGGTCACAGCTCCAAATATCAGCAGCCTTAATTCATCAGTATTAATTTATCTCAAAATATTCATATGCCAAAGACTATGCAGAGAATTTATGGAGCCCGGGGCAGCTATCCACAGGAGAAGACCATAACCCAATATCACAATCTGAAGAGGCCCTTAATTTGCAGTTGAAAATTGCTTCAGTTCCCCCCCCTTATGTAATCCCTAATCTCCCCCAAATTAGTTTTCACTCAGAACGCTTTCAAATCAATTTGCATTCAATTAATTTATTGCTAACATGGAGATACTAGAAATATCCACCACCCACTCACAAATTTGTTTTCAATCAAACTAATTCTCTAGAGCAGTGGTTCTCAACTTTTTCTTCACCATGGACCCCCTTTAAATATCTTTTGTGGCCATGAACCATGGCCCCAGACCACCAAGATTTAACTCAAGATTTAAATAATAGCATTTCTTCAAGCCTTCGCGGACCCATGACAACATCATGGCCCCCCAGGGGTCCGTGGACCCCAGGTTGAGAACCATTGCTCTAGAATCCAGTTGGATTGAGGTGACATATACATTTCATAAAGAAATAAGATTTCATAATTATATAAATCCTAAATGTCCCACTAAGAAACTTCAGTATTAACTGGTCATCAACATGTTTTCAATAATTTTATTCCTAACACTGATTTCTTTTACCTGAAACCAACAGAATCCCATTTTCCAGCTATGTATTTAAAGAAGCAGAACTTCAACAAAAAAACAAGAGCAATATCTGTGGCCTATCTAGTGCTATACCAGTGAAAAAATACCATCACCCTTTTGTCTATTCTCTGTATATTACCTGAATGTATCCTGGCAACTGTGTGATGTCAAAGAATGACACTAGACCTTTTACATTCTACACCCTCTTTGTCATCTAACAATTTTAGTGCCTTCATGGAGACAAGTAATGATAAACTCTGAAATGTTTTTTTATGTTTTACTTTAAATAAGCATATTGACAGTAGAAGCTCAAGATACAGTGTATTCATGGATTTGAGAGTTAAAAACCACCCAGTAGTGATGTTCTTTGATTTTTATATTGTGGATTTTACCCTCAGGATAGTGATTCAATATACTACACATACAGAAGTCCATAATGAAGTGTTTAAATTACTATAAATTATTAAAACAAAACTGCATTTATGGAACAAGGTGACATAATAAATCAACCAATTCACCCACCCATCTCTTTAGAACTTTTCACTTGATGGGAAATTCAACTAACATAACTATTTTGCTGCTATTAACATGAGATTTTTACAGTGCACAAGAAGAAAAGAAATTAAGCTAAAATCACAATTGACATAAGCACATAGCAAAAACCTAAGTTGGTAAAATGAACGTACCAGCCCATTAGCTTTAACGAGAGGGGCCTCCAAATCAGGATACACGTTTTCTAAATACCACTTGAAGTTCTTGCACTGAAGCTGCTCCCTCAGTTTCTTCTGTTGAGTTAAATCTCCAATGTCCAAGTTTTTCTGAATGAGGTGATAACCATGTCCATAAAAAAGATCTTTGTAATCATCCAGCCAAACTTCTGCCACCCGGGCCAAATTCCGCTCTACTGTAGTGAGACGATCTTTAGGGAAGGAGTAGGGGTTATCATTCCTAAAAATATGACCTACTCGGGAACATGGGATAATCTCAATTTCTCCGCCACACATCCAAACCTGATGAAATAAAATCATGCCAACAATAGATATAATTTCTGGCAATTTCATTCCATAATCTGCAGCGTGTAGATGTCTTAACTTCTGCATATGTCTTATTTTGTTTTATTATGAGAAAATCCATATCTACTAAGTTGAGAACATGTAACATTGTGATTTGCATCAACCATGTGTTTACAGCACAATGGCTTGGAGTTCCAAATTCCTGGATAAGTCGTGGTTTAGAACATCTTCTCTAATTTCTACTACTCAGAATCACTTTCTTGTTGAAACCTTCAGAAGTAAAACAATGGCCATAATAGTTGTTTAGCAAATTCAGACATTACACCACTTATAATGAACGCAAGTATTAGCTTGCAAACTCTTTTCAAAACTTTCTTTTGATGCAAGCCAGCGATGAGGCCTCAGTCTATCATTTCTGACTGAGACTTTAGGCTTAATCGTATTACAACTTCTTTGATCGTTGTTTTGTAATAGATATTGCGTGATTGATCAGCATTTGGAGCTTTATTGTCTTGGTTGAAAGAGAAGCTTGGGATTTTATAATGTAAGTTATATTTAGATAATACCATATATATTGCTTAAGAAACCAGGAATTTAAAATATTAATAGATTATTAGCTATAGAATTATAAATAATACTCTTATCTATATACCGGGAAAATTCAATTTTCTTGACTTTGGTGCATAATAGACAGAAATAACAAATGATATTTTATTTACTACATTTGTTTGCTGACTATCTTGCCTAGAGATATGCATCATCTGCACAGCTATAATAATATACTTTTGATTCACTAGGCATTGGGGTATTATGGATATCCACTTCCATATATACAAATAATCACATCATAATGGCATTATACTGTTTATTTTAATACAGTTATTCCTGAACATCCATTGTTAAGAGAATTGGAAACGAAGGCATATGCACGATTTAGCTACTGACAAGAGAGCATTAATTTGATAATCAAGTACAAATTAGAAACAAATGAAAATATGTTTAACATACCTTGAATGAGATCTCCATATTTTCACCTCCCCAAACATCAAGGCCAGGATCATATGCTCCAAGCTCAAAAAAATACTTCTTATCAATAGAAAATAGCCCACCTGCCATTACAGGACACCTAATAATTGAACCAGACATAACATGTATATTGAGGTTTGGGAGGGCAAATGAAGATTTTGCTATTTTGAGACATGCACACAAATGACAATTGTTATATTAAATGCAAGCATACCTGAATGTTCACAACATTAGAAATCTAGTTTGGCAATAGTTCAATGTTGCCATCTGAATATATTTTTACCATATATATTGCTTAAGAAACCAGGAATTTAAAATATTAATAGATTATTAGTTATAGAATTATAAATAATACTCCTATCTATGTACAGGGAAAATTCAGTTTTCTTAACTTTGGTGCACTGACTTTGTACACAATAGACAGAAATAACTAATATTATTTTATTTACTACATTTGTTTGCTGACTATCTGCCTAGAGATTTGCATCATCTGTGCAGCCATAATAATATACTTTTGAGACATGTCCTTTTGCACACAAATGACAATTGTTATTAAATGCAAGTATACTTGAATGTTCACAACACTAGAAATCTAGTTTGGCAATAGTTCAATGTTGCCATTTTAATAGATTTTTACAAAATCTTATAAAATCTCTTGATTTATGTTAGACAATAATTTAAAGCAGAAGCAGAGAACGTGTAGCCACCTATTGCCAAGTTACAACTTCCACGGACCAGAATGGGCAGAGACGTAATTCAGTAATATCTAAAAAATCAAAAGTTCTTTACTCTGCTTTAAAGTAACATCTTTAGTTGAATAAACAGGTCATGTTTAACATGTTAGTTTCCATCCAGAAAGAAGAAATTTGCAAATCATAAACTATGCGTCATTCTACCATGTTGAATATTTATTACTTAAAAAGCAATTCTGTTCACAAAACTTTAACTTGACATACTTACCTAATTATATCAGTTTCCTTAATCTTATTTTTTTTAATTACATCCGAAGGAATTGGTTTCCACCCAAAATTCATTGGCCATGTAAAAACACCGCGCTGAAAGCTATCCACGGTCATGTAACTAAACGATGGAGAACACGCAAAGAATTAATTTGAGAAGCAAATGCTGAATCAGAAGTTACAATAAACTGAATGGCATCTTTGAGGCTTGGGGCTAATAACATCAGACTAAAAACAACAGCTTGCAAAATTATGAACTGTTTAACATTGTGAAATGAGCTTTGTGTTTTCTTACTTTATTTTGAATTACACTTTACAACAAACAAGCAAAGATCTTAAGAAAAGATGTTCTATCAATGTAGAACTGTGTTTTGCCCAAATGAAGGTAGTAATCTGTGTTGGGAGTCCCAAGGCTTCTCCTGCGGTCACTCCTGCTTTAAAAGTGTTTTGAAGGAACATGCCTGGAAGAGCCTGTCGGATCACGCCCTTCAAGATAGGAGAGCTGAATATTAAAAGGACAGAGTCAGAGTACATGAGACCATGGAGGTGTGGCCAGTTCAGTTATCAGTGTGCTTCCTCTGTGTAGGAGGACCTTATACAGGATACGATCCTGGAAAAAGCTATGCTGAACTCCCTCTCTGCCCATGGATCAGCCCCATCGTTTCAAGGGAAACATGGAAGAATAAAACTCACCTCATATCTTTGTCACTAATCACTTCAATAACAGGACAAGCAACTTTTTTTCTATGTAAATGAATTCTGTCCAGTAGAGGTTCCAACCACCCCACGTTGCATTCTACATGAGAATCTAAGAAGGTCAGGACATCACCTAGAGCAGCAAGTAAATTTGCCATTATAACAAGGAGACAGGCAAAACTTGGAAAGGTTTACAGTATTTATTGGCCTCTTTAAAAAAAACATTCTATCTGCTTCCCATTGTGGATAGCTATTTAACATATAATCCATACATAACAAAGAAGTTCATGGGAGACATTGTTCAAACAGATTACGTATATCTCTTCGTTATTTATTCAAAAACTTCCACCTTGCCGCAATATAATGTTGTTTTTTTTACTGTTCACTTTGTCAAGAACCATAAAAAGATTCCACACTAAAAAGTAACTTGGAAATGCTAATTCTTAACTGTACCTTAATCATACCATATATTCTTTCCAACACACAATTTTTATATACCACTGGGAAAAATGTCCTTTATGGCATTTCACTAATTGATAAGAATGCCTCGGCTGGTCAGCACCATATTCACCTAATTAGAAATTTCTCTAGAGTAGTGAAAGTGTGATGTGCTTTAAAGCTTCATTAATATATATGACATATGAGTTGGAAAACATGTTAATAAAAGTTTTTCATTTTATTAACAGAGACTTCCAAACATTGCAGTGGTATAATAATAATAAAAAGGTATCTACGGAAGGACAAATTTTATTTCATGCAGAACGATCTTGAAGGTGCTTATTAGTTCTATGTGAGCAATAACTGGTCCTATCACCTGCTAATGTCTCCATCGCTGCTGCATATCTGGCAAACTCAAAACGAAGTTGCTATATGCATACTAATATACTAATACTGAGGTCTTTTATAACATAATAGATTATATCTTGCCTGGAGGGGATCTTTGCACATAAGCCCCTTATGATCATAAAACATATGTCTAGTGGTTACATGACTTGGGTGTATAGTGGTAGGATTAGCCTGCACAAATTTGCAAGACTTTCATTTGTTTTTAACATGTAAGGGAGGCCGTTGAACACCCAAATGTGAAAATCAATCACTAACTAATATAGGTATATTATCTAAAGGAAGGAAGATAAAGAGATAAGTCAAAACGTTTCTCCTCCTTTTGATGATTTTTGGTATTACCTGTGAAAATATTCACCTCTCTCAGAATTTACTTTCCCTCAGTGAGTTTGCATAATTAAACCTTATTGACTGTGTAATGTAATTACCTCATTTTCTCTGGCTACAATTAACCCAACCAACTCATTAAAGAAGGATTGCGTTAATTCACATTTCATTTTGATGGTCATCAGCTTTCAAAACTTGGAGACTTTATTAATTTATTTACATTATCCTATCCATGTCACGATTTCCAATAGACCAGGCTTGTGTGGATAAATTATTAAGGATCCTGAAGGGAAATACAGTGATAGAATGTACAGAAAAAGGACACAAGGATGCCAAATAGAAGACCCTTTTTACAACTCTATAATCCTTTAATTTGGGGGACACAGATTATTATTTTCATTTAAAAAAAGAAAATATAAATTTTCAGAAAGTTTTTCTATCACACATCTCAAAATACTATTTGAATCCAAAAATCAAAGCAAAAATTATAGTTTCAAACATATCTTCCATAAAATGTCTCAGAGTGGATAACAGCAACATTCAGAAGAAAAACAATTCCAAATATATAATGATACTGAAAATTGGTAAAGTATTAAGAGCCTGTGTAGCAAGAGCTATTAAGGTAGAGGAGATTTTCATACTGGAATATCAGTAGAGCTGGCCTCAAGGACAGTTCTTGGCAAAATCTTTATATTAACTTGCTACTAAATTTCTATCTTTAGTGGGCAGAAAGTTTTAACATTTTAAATATATGTGTAACACTTTCTGCTAAAAATACCAAGGTGCTGCATAGCAAATAAAACAATATCAAATTCATGAAATACTACATCAGGAGGAAAAGTATTTAAAAATTAAAAACATTGCCACTAAAATCTATTAAAAAGGCCAGATTACAAAGACATTCTGGAGTGCAGGTAAATTAATGCTAATTATACTGTGTAGGTGATTTTAAAAATATCTGCTTGATTTCAATAAACTTATTATACAGTTGTTGGAATAATACTATGTTACATTACAGCATATACGTACACCCAGGCAGTGATTTCTACACTGTTTAGGTCTTAATGTCATGTGTAAACAGACACTGTCGCTAAATCAACACATTCTTTGTTATCACCTTTACAGTGGGGGTACTGGAAGTTGTTTTTAGTTTTATCTCTAACATTAATTTGAATTATGATTTGATTTTAATTAAACAATATAATAATAATGATGATGATGATGATGATGATGATAAAGTTGGAAGGGACCTTGAAGGTCATCTAGTCCAACCCCCTGCTCAGGCAGGAAACCCTATACCATTTCGGACAAATGGCTGTCCAGTTTCTTCTTAAAAACTTCCAGTGTTGGTGCATTCACCGCTTCTGGAGGCAGGTTGTTCCACTGGTTAATTGTTCTAACTGTCAGGAAGTTTCTCCTTAGTTCTAGGTTGCTTCTCTCTTTGGTTAGCTTCC